TATTTTTTTTTGATCCGGCAGCCCAAACTTAGCTTGACTTAGCAGTTCAGCATTACGGATTTACGGTGTCCTCCTTATTATGACTTTTTTAAATTGGATCCTGAACAATTTTACGTGTTTTTGAGCCACAGCTAAGCCCAAAACCCCGCTAAGCTCAAATCCCGCGATCACCAAAGCCGAGTTGCCAGGCCCCCTTGGAGCCAAAACCCATCTTGGCGCGAACGGTTGAGGAGGCGTCTTTAGGGCTTTTGGGGTTTGGGGTTTAGGGCGACAAGTTCTGCAAGGGCTCTAGGGGGGTTTAGGGTTGCGTGCTTTGACATGTTGTCTGCTTGTTGAGTAGGATGTAGTGTTGTCTAGTGGTGTTTAGTAAGGGCTTTCCATACAGCAAGAGGCTAGTCTGGATAAGCAGACCCGAAATGGGGGTTTCCGAAAATAGGGGACCCCAATATAGCACCCTAAATAATAGGATCCTTATTATAAGGACCCCCAAATAAGGTACCCCTAATTTTCGGAAACCCCCAAAATGCCTTTTCCCAACAGCAAAGACGAAAGGTTCATCTGAGTGGTTGTCAAAATTATGGTCCCTTTTGGGGTACCCTACATAATAGGTGCCGTATTATAATAAGGACCCAAACAGGGACCATAATTTTGACAACCACCCATCTGTCTGACAGGGTTTGGGTGGCTCGGGCTCAGGAACCTTCATCCTTGAGCTTGGATTCTCTAGACTCCCAGCGGTTTAGGGTTTAGGGTTTAGGGTTTAGGATTTAGGGTTTAGGGTTTAGGGTTTAGGGTTTAGGGTTTAGGGTTTAGGGTTTAGGGTTTAGGGTTTAGGGTTTAGGCTGAACCCTCAACCAACCCACACCCTAAACAAAATACCCTAAGCCCCAAGGCCACCAACCTTAGTCCGTGAGAAACAAGTCGCTCAACCGCAACCCATCTCGAATCTGATCTGCGGTCTTCTCCTTAATGAGAGGTTGGGAGTGTGGATGATAGCAACAGACCCCTGCCTGGGGCTTTGTGAGTTTTAGGAGATTCAGCATTTAAGTTGCAGAGGAGGCAGTCTGCTTAACCCGAAACTCCAAATCGGACGGCAGGTGCTGGCCAGCGGTGGAGTAAAGCCCATGCTTTCACCGAACCTCCTACCTTTGGAAGAGCTGTGGGAGGCTAGGGCGGCTTCGGGATGTAATCGAAGACTTTGGGACGTGAGGTTCGTAAGCAAACCCTAAACCCTAAACCCTAAACCTTAAACGCTAGACCCAGCAAGCATGCATACATGCTGACCGAGCCCGAGACCCTTGGGTTCATTCCGCGGGTGTCGCTGTTGAGCGGGTTCAGCGTTTCGGAATTTTCGGGGTTTCGAAAATCAGCTTTGACGGTCTTTCGCGGGACTCTTTGCAGCTTTGCTAGGGTAGAAAATGGAGTTTCCGAAAACAAGAAGTACCTTATTTTGGGGGTCCTTATAATTAGGATCCCACTATTTAGGGTACTATACTAGGGTCCCCTATTTTCGGAAACCCCCATAGGGTCAAGAGGCAGATGTCAGGGGTGTTGAATTTCTGTTCGCGCCTTCAGCATGAAAACTTCGAAACCCTAAACGCTAACCTTTGCAACCGAAACCCGACACCTGAAGCCACAAACTCGAAACCCCAAACCCTAAACCCCAACTGCTGTAGCCTAAACCCCAAACCCTAAACCCCAAACCCTAAACCCTAAACCCTAAACCCTAAACCCTAAACCCCAAATCCGAAATCCGAAACCCAAAACTCGAAACCGGAAACCCTCAACCCTAAACCCCAAACCAAGAGGTACGGGGCCAAGATATCCGAAAGCTCCTCTTCATCGGAGTTGGATGCCAGGCCATGGCTGCATTCGAGTATTGCAGGCTTCCTCGGGTTCTGTTGAACTTTAGGGCTTAGGGTTGAGGGTATGAGGGTTTGGGGGGTTTAGGGTTTGGAGTTTACGGCTTAGGGTTGAGGGCATTGGGGTTTTGGGGGTTTGGGTTTTAGAAGAGGGCTTAGGGTTGAGGGTATTAGGGTTTAGGGTGGTGTAGGGTTTAGAGTTTAGGGCCTAGGGTTGAGGGTATCAGGGTTTAGGGTTGAGGGTTGTTGGGTTTAGGGTTTAGAGTTTAGGGCTTAGGGTTGAGGGTATTATTAGGGTTGAGGGTTATTGGGTTTTGGGTTTAGCGGTTTAAGGCTTAGGGTTGAGGGTGTTAGGGTTTATAGAGTTGAGGGTCATCGGGTTTAGGGTTTAGAGTTTAGGGCTTCGGGTTGAGGGTAGAGTCTCTGTTGCAGTTCCCCTTTTGGCCAGCCCACCTTATACGCTGAGGCCCCCCTCATGCGAGAAAAAAGGCACAAGGTCACTAAAGGCCAGCTACACCAGTGGCTATAGGTCCCTCACTTCTCTTCCCTAGCCCTCGGATGTCTCCGAAGCAAAAATAGTCGGGAAAAGACAGGGCACAGCTATTGTTAAGGGGATGCTGGTGAAACCAGTTTCTGTACCAAGCATGAAGGTCCTACAAAGGCGTTTTGAGGATTTTGCAGGGCTACATATGGGGTTTTGTAAGGGCCGCGCATTTACACGGTTTTCTGAGTGTTCTTTAGGACTTTTCTGAGGCAAGCCGGGTGGCTTAACGTTTCCGGAATGGGGTGTGCGGCGGCTGTTTATACACAAGGTTTTTGCACTGTACTTTGAATTTCTGCATTCTAGCAGACTACGAAGGGGGTACAAGTCCCGCAACACTAGTTACTAGTTAATACAGGGCCTAAATAATTACATATACTATTTTGGGGGTTCCTTAGTATAACTAAAGTATAATAGTCCCCCAAACCCTTTTAAGAGTATTAAGGCCCCTAGATTGTACCATCTATATCCCCCAAACCCGATTGACAATATTCAGACCTTAGACTTACGCCTGAAATCCCAAACCTAAAATCTGAAATCTTCTGACATGCTAAGAGATCAGGCACTTGAGGGGCTAGGGCTGTTGTTTCGGAGTCCCTCCCTTCTTACCACTTTTCATTTTCTAGCTTTCAGCACCGCATCGACATCGACCCAATCAGAACCCTTTCAAGGCCCCTACCCCTACCCGAACCCGCAGTAGAACCGTTCAAAGCACAAAGCCGTAAGGGTCCAAGTGCCCAAATAGTATCCAAAAACCATTCAAATTCAGAGCATGGATTGTAGGACCTAAAGCCTTACTATTTGGGTAGTTCTCTAAATCAGGGTCCCTTTTAGGTCCCCAATATAGTACGGCACCCCTATGAAAAGGACCCTAAAAGGGACCCTCATTTGGAAAACTACCTATGTGGGGACTCGGACCCCTTTGGGAAAGCGCCCCTTACAGGAGCCGCTCAGAGGAGCCTCTTGAAGCGAAGCCCTGCTAAGAACCAGCGCTTTCATAGGTGCAGGCACTTCGTTCCGTGGAAGAGGCCCGGTTCAGCGTTTAATATAGGGGCCTTCATAATTACCTGTATTATTTTGGGGGTTCCTTATTGTAAGTATAGTATACTGGGCCCCGAAGCCCTATTCTAATTATTAAGGCTCCTACATTAAGGGCTTGGGGTTCAGGTTAGGGTTTAGGGTTGAGGGTCTAGGGGTTAAGGGCTTAGGGCTTAGTGTTTAAGGTTCAGGGGTGGGGAGGGGTGGGCGTGAGGGCGTCTTGAAGCTTCTACGATGAGGGCTACAGTGTTTTTTATTTTTGGGCGTGGGGTTTTGGGTTTCCGCTAAAGGCTTGGCGTCATGGATTTAGAGTGTAAGGTTTGGTGTTCAGTCTTTGTTTCAGACCCCTCATTAACAAAGCCCCTCGTTTAAGCCCCCCGCCTGCATGTAAGGATTTTCTTTCCTGCTGATTAATGGAGGAGGCTTATCGAGGAGCAGTCGACGAGTGGTACATGATAACTCCCTTTAGCTTGCTATGTACGAACCTGATTCAGAAGCCGTGGCGCTATAACCCCAAGCTATAAGGATTCATATCCTAAACCCCTGAACCCTAAAC